TGATTTTCCCTAATATGCATATAGTAAAAACTTAAAAAAATCTTCTTTTAAAGAAACCAAAGAGCTAGAGCTAAGATATTTAGCATGAAAACATCTTCTAATGAGTGTCTACAAAGTTTGTTCAAATAAAAAAGCCCTGAGGTCAAAATTGGCCCTGCCCCAGGGGGTCATAGATTTTTCCCTATATGCATATAGTAAAAACTTAAAAAATCTTCTTTTAAAAGAACCCAAAGAGCTAGAGCTAAGATATTTAGAGCATGAAATATCTTCTAGTGAGTGTCTACCAAGTTTGTTCAAATAAAAGCCCTGGGGTCAAAATTGGCCCCGCCCCCTGGGGTCATTGATTTTCCCTATATGCATATAGTAAAAACTTAAAAAATCTTCTTTTAAAGAACCTTAAGAGCTAGGGCTTAGATATTTGGCATGAAACATCTTCTAGTGAATGTCTACCAAGTTTGTTCAAATAAAAGCCCTGGGGTCAAAATTGGCCCCGTCCCAGGGGGTCATAGATTTTCCCTATATGCATATAGTAAAAACTTAAAAAATCTTCTTTTAAAGAACCCAAAGAGCTAGAGCTAAGATATTTAGCATGAAACATCTTCTAATGAGTGTCTACCAAGTTTGTTAAAATAAAAGCCCTGGGGTCAAAATTGGCCCGTCCCAGGGGGTCATAGATTTTCCCTATATGCATATAGTAAAAACTTAAAAAATCTTCTTTTAAAGAACTCAAAGAGCTAGAGCTAAGATATTTAGCATGAAACAAATTCTAATGGGTGTCTACCAAGTATGTTCAAATAAAAGCCCTGGGGTCAAAACTGGCCCTGCCCCAGGGGGTCATTGATTTTCCTTATATGTGTATAGCAAAAACTTAAAAATCTTCTTTGAAAAAACCCAAATAACTTGAGTTTAGATATTATACATGAAACATCTTTAAGTAAATATCTACAAAGTTTGTTCAAATAAAAGCCCAGGGGTCAAAACTGTCCCTGCCCCAGGGGTGTCATTGTTTTTAACTATATGTGTATAGTAAAAACTTAAAAATCTTCTTTTAAAAAACCCAATGAGCTAGAACTTAGATGTTTAGCATGAAACATCTTCTTATGGGTGTCTACCAAGTCTGTTCAAATAAAAGCCCTTGGGTAAAAATTGACCCGGGGGGCGGGGGGGGGGGCTATATACAGGTGAGCGACCTCAGGGCCATCATGGCACTCTTGTTTTACTTAAATTATAGAAAAATAATATTGTTTAGATGTTTGTTTGTTTGTTTTATTTCAATGTCTAATCACAAAGATAATTGTGTACTTATTTAATGGGCTATCTTGTATTACAATATATCATGTCTGAACTTAAGTGTTTTATATATTCCTGAAACTGTTTAATATTTATTATTAATATTAAAAATTTGCAATATTTCTTCATGAAATAATTTCAAGTATCTATTTTTTGTAAGTTCTCTTCCATTATTACTTTTTTCTTTTTAGGAAATTCTAATTGTTTTAAGGAATTTGAATAATGTGTGGGAAATTAAATGAAATAAGAATTCATCTTTATTTTCAGTATTTATTAAACTAGCATGTTAATGATATATCTTAAACCAGTCTGATATTATGATAATATGAAATGAAATAATTTTCTTGAGTTTTGTAATTTTCGTGTAGGTAAGTAATTAAACATTTTCAGTCAGGCTTGCCTTAAATAATGCCCCTTTGGGTGATGGTAGAAAGGGGTATGCAACTTAAGTGGGTTTTTTTTTTTTAAATTTATTAATTGTTTTTGGTTTGGTTTTATGCCCCATCAACACAGTATAAGTCATATAGCAACTTTCCACTTTACTGATGGAGGAAGACCTCAGATGCCCTTTAAGTGTTTTTATTTTCCTTGCTTTACATGTATTTTTATGAAGGTTGTAGCATATAATGATATTACTATAATTCTCTTGGTATTTAACCATTGTACAATTATATCATACTTTATATACAATTTTTTTTATAATTTTAACAATATCTGCCAATGTTATCATTCAGAAAGTAGTTCATCAAGATGTTTTATTTTCAGATTAAGTCATTAAAAAAAAAAAAATCTGCACCTAAGTTAAAGATCTGCACCTAGTCAGCTGATAAGAAATAAGGGTGCACATGTTTCGTAGAATTTGCTCTGAATACTGACTGCTTCTTTTTTTTAAGACAAGAAATCGTGACAACTACGCTGATTTTATAAATGGTATTAATTTTGCCTATTATGACAATGTAACTACGCTATGCTGTTAATGTGAATACACGATGATTATTCAAATGGTAATTCTGTTGCCATTTGTTACGGTGAAAATAGTGATTAATGGCAAAAACTGAAAAGACAAAAACATTCAATATAGGGACAGATGGTTGTAAATAGACTGTGGCTCGAATGTAGCAAAAAGGAGTCGGTTGTAAGCATACAAAGTTATAGTACAACAAAAGATTGAGTTATACCATCTGCGAAACTTTGACATTTTCTGCTTGTCACAATAATTGCTGTTGCAACGCATCCAATTCAGTTGTGAAATCACGTCGGCAGACATATTTGGACGTATCTACTTCAGTTTGACGACACCCTGTAGAGAAAATAAGCAATGCTAGTGCATCATTTTATGATCTTTTGATCGCGAAATGGACAGTTCTAATTGGTCAAGAAAATGCAGTATTGATATTTATATCCAAATAATGGTCATCTTCTGTTGACCCGGTCAAATAAGCATTTAGTGCGCAGTGACCTTACATTAAAAAATGTTCAACCTTAAACGTTCATTTGTTATGCATGGATTTTTGAATCATGCAATTAAACTATTCAGTCTCGCAAGTGTATAAATATAGTTTATGGAATTCGGCACTAAAGACAAGAATATAAATGAATGGTTTTGACATTAAACTTTTTACTTTAAAATTGAAATTCCAGCTTTGAGAGACATTTATTACACGAAGATGCACAGTTTCTCGAAATTTCTTGATATGTTTTTTTTTTATATCTCATCTCTGCTGCTGAGATTTTGTTTTATGTAAAATCTATTTACAATGTTAGATTTTGCAGATTTCTAGTTTTATTGCTTTTGTGATTTTATTTAACTTGTAGATGAAGTGTGCATTATTTAGCCACGTGCAAAATTGTGGCTCAAGGGCTTGTTAGATAGAATTGAACTAATATCATGCGTTTTGTGTTTTATTTTCGTTTTTTTTTTTCCTACAAATGTTTGTCATTTTGCTCATGGTACCATGAAGTGTTGCACTTAACAACTTTTAAGCTGAAAGGAAAATTTGTGTAATTTTCTGATTTTCTATGAAATAATCCTTCGTTGCATCTCAGTATAAAAAACATTCCAATATCAAAAGTTATTCTTCATTTGAGACTATGTACATCAGGTTTTTTTTTTCATTTTCTTTTTCAATTTGATTAATGGTTTTTTAAAATGAAAAGTTCTAAAATCTCCTTCTTCTGATATTTTGAACTGTACCCTATTTGGCAATTGTTTCCAGGTTCGTAAAGACTGACATCTGTCAGAAAATAAACCATGCAATGCAATCAAGAAATAAACAGATTTTACGGAAGATTTTTGCATGTAAATTTTCTGCAGAATCCTGCAATCTTGTAAAACAGAATAGAGCAGTGTTGCTCTCCGTAAAACCAGAAACCAAACGAGAAAACAAAAAAACTGATGATATTTGTAATTGAGAAATATATTGCTTTTGCTCGATCCTTCTTGATTTTCTATTGGCGTGCCACTAATTCCATATTGTTTATTCCAGTCAGACTTGAAGCAATCAAAAATCTTGTATCTGCTAAGCTGTAGATAGAACAAACTTAAATTAATATACCATATAAATCAGGTTATTGATCAGGCAGACAATAAGTAGCTCCCGTCCTGATTTCTTATCATTGATCAATTCTCATAATTTTCTACGGACATATGATTACTAAGTAAATATAAACTCTTGTACTGTTGTCCGTTGCTTGGGCTCCGCTTTTGTAATTATGAGGCAAAATATCATTGGAATCTAATAAAAGATTTACTGATCGCATACGGCTTCCTTTTGCAGCAGTTATGAAATGAAATGGCATGAAATTTTGAAGGAAAAAATGTCACCGATATATTCGTCTTATTTGCCGTTTGATCTACGAATATTGTAAAATCCTGCTAGTTTACTTCTATGGTATCAATGCTTTGATAAATGAAAATACGGAAGCATAAGCCTTGTTGAAATCGTGATTACACTATGTATTTGGTGCTTGTTACAGGATATTGGTTTTGTCAAGTACATTTAGAAGAATATTTTTTGTCTTAAATGTAAATAAAAGTATGTGGGCCTACATAGGAATAACTATTTAAACATGATCACAAACAATGTTTGAATTTCTGTTCGTACAATAGGGGACGAAAGGTTAAACAGAAATTCAGATTACGATGAGATGATAAAAAAGAAAAAGTCTTATATCTTTTACTGAGAAAGAATTACTCAGTAAATATTGAAGGATATTCAATGACATTACTCATTTTATCCAAGAGGAATTGAGAAAATTCGTCAGAAAATAGATGAAATATGTAAAACTTGTCACTTACAAGTTTGAAATATTTATCATGTGCTCTGTTTGGATACAAATGTATTCAGCTTCTGTTAATACGACTGATTTATAAAATATTAAAATAGATTCTGTTTATCTGTGATAAATGTATCCCTCTATAGTTCTCTATATAAAAAGTTTTTTAGATGATAGCTGATGCGAGGTACAGGTGTATTTTATGATAAGTATTTTATCTATGTACTAAATTATACACTACTTTACTAATCAATTTTATTATTTGTTTTGTTATATTTATTATTTACTGCTTTCAAAAAATTTGTGTTGTTACATCCATTTCATAAAAAATTTATTGATAACTAGTCATACAGTCAACACTGTGTTTAAAACCCAACTCTGATTAAAAGCCTTAAAAGCTTAAAGAGACTTAAATTTTTATTCTTGTATTTCAGTTTGTTACGGAGGTCACCTGCCATTACAGACCACATAAGGACTGTCACAGGAGTGGTCTTTCACATCAAATATGAAGTTGGCATTTGGAAACATGGGTAAGAAGTTTCAAGGCAAAATAGCTTTGATATTTTTAATGGAAAAGGATTCTATCAATAAAACCAATGATTAATTTTGTTTTTGTCTTTTTCTAAGAATTATTTTTATTTTATTCGCTCATTATGTTATTGACATATTTAGCTTTAAAAGGTCATAGGACAACTTAACATGTTTTATGCCAGAAAAAGATTTCAGTTGCCTGTCTTAGCAAACAATTTAGTGAATTTACCTGTACATGTAGCTTTGTACAGCTTTTTATAAAATCATTGCTTCAGTGACTTTTTGGCTTATATGAAGGGCGTCTTCCCAGATAGAAAAATTTATTTAAATCTTGTGAAAAATTGTGAAGACTTTTCCCAATAAAAATATTCCCAGTAAGAACAGTCAGTCATTCTATAATACTATGTATATTACCATCAAGTGAATAAAAGAAAGTGAAAGGTTTATTATTTTTTCCAAATTTCAAATAGAATTGCACTTTAAGGTAAAGGCTTTTGGGAAATTTATGGTTTGTTACTAGAGAAATACTAAGGTTAGCAGCTACTTTTGCTTTGCTATTGAAGCCTAACCTGGAACAGACGCATCAAGACCACTTAGATTGGTAACTCCCTTTACATGACTGGAATTTCTTAAGTGTAATTATTCTTTTGAATTTCAGAAAGTTAAATATGAAATGATTGTTAAAGAGATTAATCCAAGGCCATGCTTTGGTAATAAAGCTTGAATTATTATTTTAATTTGGAATCATGCAGAATTTGGTCACTATGGGTTTCAAAACGTCTCCATGTAACAAAAAATACTGTTTCTTAATTTTGATTTTGATCAGATAGTGGTGTTCTGTTACGTTTTTGCTAAATAATTTACAAAATTGGTCAAAAAATAATTACTGAGTCACAGTAGCTGGATATATTTTTGCAGGAGTAAAATTTTGGAAACAAATTTGAATCTAAATGGCTCACTGTACATGCTGAATTAATAATTCCATGTTTGAATAACGTAATTATCAAAGAACTTTACAGAGTGAAATGTTCACCATAGTGTTTTAGTATGAACTGATATTCCAGCAGCTGCAGTTCTCTTAAACATCATACCCTCTAAAAAAACAGGTTTAATTACCTCCTAATTGAACAGAAAGTGATTTCAGCCAGGCCAGCCAGCATAGATAGTTAATCTTTTTACCAGGAAAGGACAGTTCCAAATTCAAAGCAGGTTAAGGATCAAACTTACTTCATGCATGAGGTTTTGGCTTCAGTATATGATTCTGTTTTTTAGGATTGTCCATATGTAGATAATCATGGACTTTCTTAAGGCCACCGTTCAAAAGTGATGATGAAACAATTATGAAAAACTTCTTTTAAGCATCAACCATGAGGAGTTAATTTAATGGTGTGAATAACTTCTCTTCAGCAATAACTACATGTAATAGATTATATATTATATTAAGTATATCATGTATGGTCTTCTATCAAGCTTCATAGGGAGAATAGAACTGTTTTGTAATCAACTAGAGTGATACAACCAGAATAGCTAATCATGCAATTTTACCTTCTATATATCTTATTGCAAGCAGTTAGGAGCCATCACTGATCCCTTGTTGGTAGAATATTCTCAGTTTCCTAAAAAAAAATTTAAAAAAAAGATAACATGGAAATGGTGTTTCATAAACCTTCATCTGCTGAATTTGTGTAAAAGATGTAACCGGTTTTAAATTTGAAATAGTCTGTTGATGGTGGTGGTGTTGGTAGTTTTCACTCCGGCTCATGGCAGTTACCCACATTGAATTTACCAGAGCACAGTTCATCCACCGCATCATTCCTGGGCAAGCTGTCGAGCAGTTTACCAGTACTAGTTGCCTTCACTTTTGCAAGGAACTGATTACTTCTGTAAATGCAAGAGCAGTGGTACAGTGTGAATGACCATAGAAAGGATTTCATATAAATCACAATGAAAGTGACCTGCGTCGTTCAGGAATCGAACCTGGGTTGCCGGACTCACAGTCCAATGCTCTACCTATTGAACAAAGCGGATGCCTTTCTTTTAAAAAATTTGAGAATTTTAATATCAAAATACAAAAATGAAGCTACCAAACAGTTTAGAGCCTGATCAGACAGCATGGATGTATAGGTTCATTTAACATGTTTGACAATGTTCATAATTCAAGCATCTATAATTCAACAGTTATCTCCTCCTTGAACTTTGCTTAATGTAATTAATTTTACTTGAATTTGACTTGAAATTGTATACTTTTACATTACAACATAGAAATTTTTGTAAATATTTTATGTTATTGTCTTCAGAGACCCTTCACTTGTACAGTGTACATGATGAAATTTGAGTTTTGTAAACAAAATAAAATAGCATCATTCTGTCAGTATTGCATGTTCTTATAATGCAGTGTTTTACGATGGTTGTGATCAAGCTACGGTTGTCATTCTTGTTAAATTTCCTGCAACATAAAGTGGCAACAGGGAATGATTGCTTTTATTTTAGCTCAACTTTACATATGGTAAGCTGTCTTACTCAACCTGGGTCAGACTTCTGATTCAAGTTTTTGTTCATATTTCTTATTAATAAAAGTTATCTTTTTTATAACTTACAGATCAATTTGCCTTTAAACATGAAAATATTGTGCTGTATCATCACCAACATTACATGCAATAAATAAAGTTTATAACTCAGGTAATTGTATTTCAAGAATTATTCTTCCTTTAAACATCAAGTTTCAAATAAAAGTTCATATTATTAAGATTGTTATGTTTAAGGCATGAGCACTTAATGAGCACTATAAGGAACTGAACAATTAACAAAGGTCAGATATATGCCTAAAAACTTAAAATTCATGTGAAGATTTTTGCATTTAACATCATTATTTATTTGATTTACTTCTAATCTTAAATGTTGATTCAGATTAACCATGAAAATGTTAACAATTCTCTTACTTCTATATACAAATAATTCAACTTTTTTTTACTTTTTCACAATTTCGAGTACCTATTATTACCTGTATACTTTTACTAATTACTATGCATGTTATTAAGTTTGTGATATTGGACAGTGTACTGTCTCCTCAGACAGCTCTTGTTTTCTCTTCATCTATAAAAAAACCCTGAAGATTTTGATTATAGTGCACATCCTGTGCTAATGACTCCCTGGTTGCATGTATTCTAGGTTAAACACTGTAATTCATGAGTTAAAAAAACAACAAAGTTATCATGAAATGTCCTCTGTTGTTTTTCACTAACAGTTTCTGCATCATTATGTGTTCTACTGATGGAATGATTTGGTCTTTTTTGAAGTTAATTGTTACATCGTGACTTTCCAGCTTTATTTAGGTAATAGTATGTCACCAGAATATACTGTTTATGAATTTATGGACCAGTAAATTAACCCAGTTGGATATGTCCAACTGGGATAGTAGGTCAATTTTGTATGAATATTACTGTCTGAACCTGGAGGGTTGGGCCTTTACCAGAGGTTTGAAAATCCAAAAATCTCCCATGTATAACCTGAAGTTTGAAAATCCAAAAATCAAGATCCCATGTATAACCATTGGGTTACAATTAACTGGAATTATGTACAATTTGTCATCCTAGGGAGATTCTGAAAACTAGAAAGATAGTTTCTTTACTATATAAAAGACTTGAATCTCTTGCAGGGTTGTCACATGGTTTCATATATATCAACAGTAGTTGTATAAAGCCTCTATCATATTACCCTTACAGCAGCTGTACGAACACATTTTGACAAAAATCGCTGGGTTTCTTGCGGCAGACGCAAGACAGTTGTGCAAATTCTTAAGGTTGCAAGGTTGTCGCAACGTCGAAAACTGATTTCTCAACATGCACATTATTTCTGCGATTTTTAGTGCCCCCACTTTAGTGGCGGGCATTTAGATTTACCCTTGTCCATCCTTCCTTCCGTCCGTCCATCCGTCCGTTCTCTTTTGTGTCGCACGTAACTCAAAAAGTATTTGACCTAGAGTCATGAATCTTTACAGGAATGTTGATCAGCATGTGTAGTTGTGCACCTGGGTATTTTCGTTTGGATATTTTTAGTATTTTTTAGAGTTATTGCCCTTGACTTAGTAAAATTTTGCAATTTTCAACTTGTGTCGCATGTAACTCAAAAAGGATTTGACATAGAGACATGAAACTTTACAGGAATATTGATTAGCATGTGTAGTTGTGCACCTGGGTATTTTTGTCTGGATTTATTCAGTATTTATTGCCCTTGACTTAGAAAATTTTTGCAATTTTCAACTTGTGTCGCATTTAACTCAAAAAGGATTTGACATAGTCATTAAACCTTACGCGAAGGTTGCTCAGCATATTTAGTTTTGCACCTGGGGTTTCGCTTGTGGATTTTTCCAGTATTTGTAGAGTTATTGCCCTTGACTTAGTAAAAACTGTTTCATTATGTTGTTATTTGTTCCTTGAGTGCTTGAGTTAGAATCAACCAACTTTACAGGAAATAATGATCAACATCACTAAATTACAGGAATAATGATTCACATCACTGTGAAGCTATGCAACTGGGACTTGTATGTGGATTTTTTTCAGTTTTGTTAGAGTTATTGCCCTTGACTTACAGTAGTATAAATTTGCAATTTTCAACTTGTTCATGCATAGCTCAAAAAGTATTTCACTTGTAGGCCTGAAAGTTTACAAGAATGTTGGTCAGCATGTGTACTTATGGGGTTTGCTTGTGGATTTATTCAGTACAGTCGAACTTCGTTTGCTTGAACTCGGAGGGCCTGTGCAAATTTGTTCGAGAGATCGGTAGTTCGAGCCAGCCGAGGTCGATATATTATAACGTTGATCATATGCCGAAAGGTTTTCTAGCAGACATCGGTCAAGTGATAAATACGTAAATAAAAGTGTTTGTTAGTACATTTGTTCCTCGAATATGTCATATTCAGAATTATTGTTTTCAATTTAGTATTAACGGTACGTTGTGTTAATCTATAGTCATGCATATTGTAATTGGTTGAGTTCGATTGGGCAATCAGACAAAACTTGTTCAAAATATATCTATATGTTTATAATGGGATTAATTTAATTTAAAAACAAATAAATTAATGAAATATTTAAGAAAAAGTTTTACAGCAGCATTTATTTGTAGTCATTTACTAAAATAAACTCCCGTACAAGTATATAATTCACGTTACATGAACTACGGTTGTAATTAAAGCCGTCCGGGTAAACGTCATTCTTTATTGACTTTTGCATATTTCACTTATTCCACGAGTTATTTTCTTTTTATCGTTACCATAAACGGCAAATCAACAATATTATCATAACAAACAAATCGGTAACAACACCTCTTATTTTGTAATAATTAACCTTAATTGCCTTTGTCACGATCACGAGGTGTTAAAAACATGTGTCGCCGACTGTCATTTATTTAGGACATGTCGACTTGTCTTTTTGTGTTCGACCGAAAAGGTGTGATTTTCACTATATATCTGCCAAAGGGACCAGAGATCGGGTTCGAGAGTTCGAGCGATAGGTGTTCGAGCGATCCGAGGTAGAACAATATATATTATATAGGAACTTTGCCGGGACTGGGCGATGAGTTCGAGCGAAGGGAGGTATTCGAGCGATCCGAGTTCGAGCGAACGAAGTTTAACTGTATTTGTAAAGTTCTTGCCCTTTTCTTAGTAAAAGATTTTTAGTTTTCAAAAAATTTTTGACCTAGAGTCATAAGATTGACAGAACAGTGGCGCGGTGGGGGCACATGTGTCCTATGGACACATTTCTAGTTTGACAGATTTTGGACGTCTCAATACAGTCTTGAGACAATCTTATTACAGACTCACGATTACTTGCGACGACCGCAGGGTTGCCTTACAAGCAACGGGCCATATTAAATCGAATGCTGGAACGACAGCCGTGTGGCAGTCCTACGACTGTTGCATCAGTTGCACTTCTTACAGAAATCATATCCTTTCAAAATGTCATACATGTTGCAGCTCATCGTTATTTGGCCCATATAATCACCCTTGGACTCTATATCCAGCTCTTGGAAGAGGGTGTGATACAGGCCAATTAATCGATGTCACGCATTAGGATTTGACCAACCAACGCCTGGCCTGCACTGATAAGCAGCGCCAGAAATATTGTGTGGCTCACTTCTTCTAAACGAAGTGTCTGTCTTAGAATACACAAATACATCCTTTGTGGTTGGATTACAATCCCAGTATGAATGAAACAATGAGGCGTGCTCTAATGATGGTGTTGCATCCAAGCCTCACGTTTGAATTCGTACAATGAACGTACAGACATAGTGAGGCAGCCTTGCGAATTAGTTTTGCGGTGCCCATGCATTTTTTTTAAATTTCGTACAATTGCCTTAACAGTCGCATATCTGTTGCACGGTCATTTTGCGACAATGGTACAAAATGTTTTTGGTTTTTGACCTACTTTTAATATTGTGCTAGCTATGCCGCCGCTGTACAAACAACGTATGTCTGCCTTACGATTTACAAATCTGTCTACATAGACTGCGAATTGTCAAGAACCTTTCTACGGCACAGATTTCTCTACAAATCGACGAACAAAATTTTGTGCGGTTGATGTTATAGAGGCTTATATAATTACATGACATATCAGTATGAATTACTTTACAAATACCTAAATTTGCCCATCCCCACCCCTCCACACACACACAAAATAGAATTGGAACCATAATTTTATTGTCTCCCTGCACTTTCCTAAATCAAGACAGAGTTGTCACACTTAGACATAGTATAACTGAAATGACCTTGAAAATTCACATTGAGAAATTTTTCCATATTTCATGTTTGATTTTTGGTTAGAACATTGTGTTAATCAAGGTGAGTCTGCAATTTCCATGTAACTTTGCTGATTTTAATACTTTCTAGGAATCACTTCTTTACCAGATATTGGTACACCACATCTTGATTATCTATAACTTTTAGCTTTCACAAGGGATAAGCTTTAGATAGAGGTCTGGATAAATTTCAAACATAAACTCTTAGTCTGATGGTCGCAACTGAATCTACATATAAAACCAGTGTTGACCAAGATCTGATGGACATGGTAGCTGTTGAGTCAGTATATATTTTCAGAATTTTCTCTAAAAACAAATAATATTGTCTAGACTGACAGATAAACAAGTCCATTTCTGATATTTAGCTGGATATAATTTATATAATATGATATTCTCAATTTTTTTCTTCAAAATTTCATGTTGTTGTATCTACTGTTTTGTCAGTTTTTGATATAGTGTAATTTGTCCTCATATTGTTGGGCTTCGACAAATAAACTATCTATGATTTATCAGAAGATATCATACCGGATATACTGTTGTAGAATTTATGTCATTTCATCAGAAACTAAACAAATTGACCTTACACTAATCCACTTGAAGAAAAATATATTTGTACATTAATTTTCTTTGTAGATAAGGCAGATAGATTTGAAGTTAAGTATCACGCTTTTATTCAAAATCACTTGCGTTTTACAATATATTTCGTCAGGTCATGATTTTGAAATAGTTTCCTGACCTAAACTTCCTGTCAAAATATCTATTTTGAATTTATACACATACTTACAGTGAATTACCCCACTTTGAGATTAGCTGATTTATAAGTAAACAGGATTTCCAGTAGATTGTTTAAAAACCTTGACTTGACTAAAACACTTAAGATTGTTTAAAAAACTTTGTTAAATGTTTAAGATAACCCTGTCTTGATGAAAATCTAACATTGTGTCTCTTTACTGAAACTTTCAACATCCAGTGAATTCTATAGCAACCATTGACTTCCTTGGCAACTATTGACTTCCAAAGCAACCATTGACTCAAAAGCAACTAGTGACTTTGATAGCAACAAGTAACTTCCATAGCAACCATTTACATTCTCGAGAACCAGTGACTTTTCATAATAATCAGTGAGTTTTATGACAGTTACTGATTTTTCATTGTAACCTTTGACTTTCTTAGCAACCATTGTCTTTCTTAAGCAACAAGTGATATCCATACAAACCAGGGACTTTCCATTGCAACCATTTACTTTCTTTAGCAACTTATGACTTCCATAGAAACCATTTATTTGCAGAAACAATCATTTGCCTCCAAAGCAGCCATTGACTTTCAACAGCAACCAATAACTTCCATAGCAACCATGGACTTTTAATAGCAACCAGTGACTTCCATTATAACTATACCTAAGCCACCAGTGATTTCCATAGCAACCATTAGCTTTCCTTAGCAACCATTTTTTTAAAGAACCAATAGCAACTTTTGGCATTACATAGCAACTAGTGACTTCTTACCAGTGACATTTTATATGTGCTCTATTTCAGATTTGAACCTGAGATCAGTTGGCCCCAGATTTGGTCTAATAGCTGCTTTTCATATTAATTGTTCTTTGTCATAGGGCCTTTACAAGTGAGCAATTTAAAGAACCATCAATGCCTTTTTGTGTAATTGTCTGCTCTGGGGGTCAGGAAGTTTACATAGACTTACATAGCCAAAATATCTTAAGAGTCTTTTTCTTGAGCAGAGCATATATATTTGGCATATAGCATCACTTAGTTGTCATCTATAAAAGTTATATAAATCATGCTCCTTGGTCAAAATTGGCCCTGCCCTGGGATCTATTTATCTTCCCTTAATGTCAAACCACTTGTGGGGATGTAGATCACTTGGTTATATTATAGACAAAATAAAAGAAAGCAGCTTATAAAATTTCTTGGAACCATTAGGTCCACATCTTTGAATTACAGTGCGTAGCAAAATTCTTGCCAGTCAATATAAAGATTTTTTAAAAGTATATTTATAGGGTTTAAACTCGCTACACACCAAGTGTGTATTATTTTACATTGACTTATATAGGTAAAATCATAACATTTTTGTCACAGTAATTGAGTTAATACTTGTACAAGAACTTGTAAAATGTGTTGAAATTAAAATAAAAAGACAGTATTACAGCTAGTACAAGTATCCCATTCCTGTTTAACATGGTGATCAATTTCAAATATTACATTTACCATCTCTCTTCTGCCTCACCTGAAGTCATTTGTTTTCTATTTTCATTTCATAGGTGCTGATAAAAAAGTTGGTAAGATTATTGAGCTGTCATTCAAAATGTGATTATACATGTAAGCAGTGCTGTAATGGGACTCTACGGCTTGCTCTGTATCTCACGAAAAGGTATTGATATGTTCTTTTACAGTTTATGAAAGTTAACAATTTTGTAAACACTTTGCTAAAGTTGTTCCAAATAAAATAAAAATGATGCCATAAAAATATTCAGAGGAGAATACTCTTTATGCAGATGCTAAAAAGTAGTCCTAGTTCTAAATGGGGGAAAGATTATATTATTTTGTATTATTATATTGCATTTTATTCATACAGTGCTTAAAATATTTTAGTGAGCAGAGGGGCTAAAATATTTTCATAGTTTTTAATGAGCAGAAGGGCTAAAATATTTTCATAGTTTTTAATGAGCAGAAGAGCTAAAATATTTTCATAGATTTTTCAGAGCAGAGAGGCTGCTTTATATTTATAGCTCTTTGTGAACATAGATGGTGCTTTATATTTATAGCTCTTTGTGAACATAGATGGTTCTGAATTTTTATAGCTCTTTGTGAACATAGATGGTTCTGAATTTTTATAGCTCTTTGTGAACATAGATGGTTCTGAATTTTTATAGCTCTTTGTGAACATAGATGGTTCTGAATTTTTATAGCTCTTTGTGAACATAGATGGTTCTGAATTTTTATAGCTCTTTGTGAACATAGATGGTTCTGAATTTTTATAGCTCTTTGTGAACATAGATGGTTCAGAATTTTTATAGCTCTTTGTGAACATAGATGGTTCAGAATTTTTATAGCTCTTTGTGAACATAGATGGTTCTGAATTTTTATAGCTCTTTGTGAACATAGATGGTTCAGAATTTTTATAGCTCTTTGTGAACATATATAGTGCTGAATTTTTATAGTGGTTTGTGAACATAGATGGTTCTGAATTTTTATAGCTCTTTGTGAACATAGATGGTTCTGAATTTTTATAGCTTTTTGTGAACATAGATGGTTCAGAATTTTTATAGCTCTTTGTGAACATAGATGGTTCAGAATTTTTATAGCTCTTTGTGAACATAGATGGTTCAGAATTTTTATAGCTCTTTGTGAACATAGATGGTTCAGAATTTTTATAGCTCTTTGTGAACATATATAATGCTGAATTTTTATAGTGGTTTGTGAACATAGATGGTTCTGAATTTTTATAGCTCTTTGTGAACATAGATGGTTCAGAATTTTTATAGCTCTTTGTGAACATAGATGGTTCAGAATTTTTATAGCTCTTTGTGAACATAGATGGTTCTGAATTTTTATAGCTCTTTGTGAACATAGATGGTTCAGAATTTTTATAGCTCTTTGTGAACATATATAATGCTGAATTTTTATAGTGGTTTGTGATCATAGGTGGTGCTGAATTTTTATAGTGGTTTTTAAACATAGATGGTGCTGAATTTTATAGCCCTTTGAGCAGAGTTGTTGCAAATTATATTTTTGATTGAACTTTGCAGAGAAGCTTAAATAATGTCTTGTGAAGTTCCTGAATGCTTATTGCAATATAGGAGACTTATGTAGTTAGCATAGACCTAGGCCAGCCTTGTTTGTCCATGCTGTTAAACTATTAGCTGCTCTTTGATTTTGTATCAGTCTATTAAAATGTTAAAGGATTTCAATATCATTAAAAACAATATAGAGCATGTGCTTTATATTGGTGGCATAGGCTTTTGGTTCCAGCAGGTTTAGGGTTAAATCCTTATGGACAATGAGTCATTTACTGATATAAGTTCATGATACATAAGTAAGTTAGTAATAACTGTAATGGTAATCTGCAAATTTCTTCTATTTAACAGTGACATTTTAACAGTATACATGTTGTATGTTAGGATATCCAGATAAGGTGAATGTAGGTACTGGCTACAAGTGAGGAAGTTGATGGCTTTTTATGATCCATTATATAAGTGAACAAACAAAGTTATAAACACTAAAGGAAGTTGCTACTTGATAGAATGTAAATATTATTTGACATGATAAGTAAATATTATCTTTCACAAGGGGAAATAAGTGTTAAGCTATTTGTTTTGTTTGCTATCTTTCAGGACATAGACTTTTAAGATAAGGCTGCAGTTACAGGTAAGATACAGGTAAAGTTGACAGGGCAGGTGATGATTTAAAGGAGATATATTACAACATAACTATGTAGATATGACTTTATTTATGTCCATAATATATCTATATATCACCTTCCTATCATAAATATCTACTTGCGACAGATGTACTTAAGTGGGGAGATAAGATGGATAGCTGTAGTTCAACACAAATTTGTCATTTATGTTATAAACTAAAATGAATGAAGGAAACATTGTATAACAGTGTATCAGTAGAATCTTTAAACTGTCTAAATGGCTAATAACCTCATTATAAACCAATTTCAATATAATAACCAACCTCAGTATAATTACCAATCTCCGCATAAACTAACCTCAGCATAATATCCAACCTCAGCATTATAACCAATCTCAACATAATGACCAACCTCAGCATAATGACCAACCTCAGCATAATAACCAATCTCAATATAATGACCAACCTCAGCATAATGACCAACCTCAGCATAATAACCAACCTCAGCATAATAACCAATCTCAATATAATAACCAACCTCAGCATAATAACCAACCTCAGCATAATGACCAACCTCAGCATAATGACCAACCTCAGCATAAGAACCAATCTCAATATAATGACCAATCTTAGCATAAACTAACCTCAGCATAATAACCAATCTCAGTAAGATAACTAACCTCAACAAAATAACTTATTTCAATATGATAACTAACATCAGCATATTAGATTAAACCACAGAATCAGCTGTTTGCAGTTGTGAAGTATGCTAAGACATGTAAGAAAGCAGAGTAAGGTCATGCCACAAAATATTAGATCATTAAAGAAGTCAAGCATTCATTGCTTAATCCTTGCTCTGCCACCAGTATAGAGCCAGGCCTGCCTGTACATCTATGAAGTCTCTACATATTTCTTCTACATATCCCAAAATTTGATAATGGATAGTTCCAAAATTAGAAGCTGGACAAGTTCATTTTTATTGTATCAGAATTTTATGGGTTAATCAGCTTTAAGAATGAGTCTATATGAGCAAAATATCTGCTAGTCTACATGTTTAAAATTAAATTTTGCCTCTTCTATCTTCTTAACTTTCCTGCAGAAAATTTTCCAAATTTTTTGTCACCACTATTTTCATGGATGTTGAAATTCCATCATCATTTTGCAAACATTTCTTAGAAGAATTTTCACAGTTGATTTATTGGGTTTTAAAATAATTCCCATCTCAGGAAAATGATTTTGTGGCAAAAACCTGCATCATGAATCCAAATTCAAGGCCATGATAAATTTATTTATAGATTTCCATTAATATTTCATTATCTTTCATTATCAAAAATGCCTGTGTTCTAGTTATAGCATATAAAAAAAATTAAGTGCTTGAAATTTTCCACTTTTTATTTGAAAAAATTTGAATTACTCGAGTTAATAATTTTTTTATCATATCTCTTCATTAAGCAAATCCTTTTAGTTATCTCCGGGAAAATGTACAAGCATGATTGCAAAATAGGAAACCATTCTAGGATTAAGAAATATTGTTTCAGGGTATCAGTCTGCAAATTCTTGTCAGCTAGTGGTTAATTTAAAATTCAAATTTTGGGATAGCCAATCAGATATTATGTTTTCAGAAGTTTTGTAATTTGTGACTGTATTAAGTAAATACTGAACCGTCCTGGTTTAATATTGGAGTCACAGTATGGAATCAGTCTAATTAGCTTAGTTTATAGAATGGTCAATCAGGTAATTTCCATGGTTGTTTTGCTCAGTAGGTAAAGTCAGTGTGTTTCCAATGCCAGCAGTGCATCAGTCTGATAAGTTTGGAAGGTAAAATGATTAATATGTTTAAGACCCTGGCATTGAACCAGTCTAATAAACTTGGTAGGATAATGAGTTGAAGTCCCTGACATGAAACCATCTTGGAAAGCTTGATAGGTTGAATATTCAGTCAGTAAGTTGATGAGTTCCTGGCATGGATTTGCAACTTGCTGGTAAGCTTTGTACATAGGTACTAGGTAGAATGTTCAATCAGTGTGTTGCCAGCAATGAATCGGCCTAATTAGCTTTGTAAGTTGAGTTAAACTTCCTGGCATGGAACTAGCATAATATACTTTGTAGGATGGGGTCCTTTGGTACCGCCATACTTGATGTTTTTCATAAATTCGTGAGAAAGAAAAGGACTGAGCTTCACTGACTAATGTTACTGTTATTGACTGCTACTTCAAACAATTCAATAATTTTTAAGTCAATCTTCCACAGCGTATTCTAATTATCACATGTTCAGATTATCGCAATACTAATTGGGACATGGAGAGTACTATACATGAAATATTAGATCAGTTAAACTCCCTGGCATGGAACTAGCATAATAAACTTAAGTAGATGGCATATTATGTCAATGAGTTAAACTCCTTGGCATGGAACCAACATGATTAACTAAGTAGATAGCATATTAGATCAATGAGTTAAACTTCGTGGCATGGAACCAGCATAATAAACTTAAGTAGATGGCATATTACATCAATGAGTTAAACTCCCTGGCATGGAACCAGCATGGTAAACTAAGTAGATACATCAATGAGTTAAACTTCGTGGCATGGAACCAACATGATAAACTAGGTAGATGGCATATTATATCAATGTGTTAAACTCCCTGGCATGGGACCAGCATGGTAAACTAAGTAGATACATCAATGAGTTAAACTACCTGGCTTGGAACCAACATGATAAACTAGGTAGATGGCATATTACATCAATGAGTTAAACTCCCTGGCATGGAACAAACATGATAAACTAAGTAGATGGAATATTATATCGATGTGTTAAACTCCCTGGCATGGAACCAACATGATAAACTAGGTGTATGGCATAATACATCAATTAGTTAAACTCCCTGGCATGGAACCAGCATGGTAAACTAAGTAGATACATCAATGAGTTAAACTACCTGGCATGGAACCAACATGATAAACTAGGTAGATGGCATATTATATCAATGTGTTAAACTCCCTGGCATGGAACCAGCATAATAAACTTAAGTAGATGGAATATTATATCAATGTGTTAAACTCCCTGGCATGGAACCAGCATGGTAAACTAAGTAGATGGAATATTACATCAATGTGTTAAACTCCCTGGCATGGAACCAGCATGATAAACTAGGTAGATGGAATATTATATCAATGTGTTAAACTCCCTGGCATGGAACCAGCATGGTAAACTAAGTAGATACATCAATGAGTTAAACTTACTGGCATAGAACCAGCAAAGTAAATTTATCGGTGAGTTAAACTTCCTGGAACCAGCATTATAAGACCTTCCTGGTAAACTTGATAGGTAGAATGTTCAATCAGTGAGTTTTAGTTGCCAGCCAGCACAGAACTTAACTTAGAGCTTTAAAAGTTATGATGACAAGCATTAACCACCTGTATGCAGTTTCACCAACCAGAATGTCTCTGGCCAGAATACCTATTTCTGCTTGTTATAAATATTTTGATCTTGAAATCCCTAAAATCTGAAATGGTTGTTTCAAACTTAAAGCTTGACATACCAGTAAAGGGATATTCCATAAGAATATTTTCAGTGCATACTGATCTTCAAATTATATAATGGTTATTTCACCTTTGTCTAATTGTAATTGACATGTCAGTGACCCGTAGACCTGCTCTCCCATCCCTGGGATCTGATCTAGGTATCATGTTTTATTAATGAACTCTATTTTTATCTAACAAACATTTAACTTTTCAATTAATTTAATCTCGAATTTGCTGATTTTCTTAAATGGACTTGTCCAGCTTGCCTTTTTGGGAACTGTCCATTATAAATGATGTGGATATAGAGCCAGCTAGACAGACTGCATGAACTGTAAGTGTTAAAGGCTTATCACATTTGCTTACACCAGGGTAAGGCTTTAACAAGTGTTTCACATACTTTTTATTGATCATCAAACATTTCTTTTTAAGAGAAAAATCTTAAATATCATAAATGGATAGCTCATATGACACAAGTTCTTACATTGTAAAAAAATGTGAATTGGGCCTTTAAACTTCTAAAATTGTACAAACTTTTTGTACATTTAATCTGTTTTTTTATTGTTGGAAATGAATTTTTTTTCATAAAATAAAATGGAACTTTAATTCAGGCTAAGTATGAATGGATTATTATAGTAATATATTTGTTTACATTTAAACTTTTTTTCTTTTTTCCTGTTGTTATTATGTAGAAAATAGATCTAAATATAAAGTGTCACTAGCCAGTTTTATTGATTACACTGTTTCAAAATTATCAGTCGAGGAAATCTTTTCAAAATGTTATTTTACGTCTTTGTTGCTTTTCAGATTGGTAGATGTGCATCAATACACCCTCGACTAGTGACATATTTCACAATGAATGGCCCTATATAAATATGTAGACAGTTATAATAACGGCTTTATCTGCGATGGTGACGCTTCGATAGGTACCTTAGCACAGGTAAGCCGGAAATTGCTGCTTATGACAAAGATAACGGGATCTGAGGATTTTTATTTAGATTTTTAAATATACGTATCCAGGTAGATTGAAATCCGTATTTACCTGCGTAAAAATTGACAGCCAGGTGATTATAAGTTTTAAATTGGGCGCGATTGTAGTCAGTTGTAAAGGGTCTACGTGTTTTGATCAAATTAGTATAATTTCATAGAAATTACCTTCAATTTGATATAAATGAAAAAAGAAATGTAAAAAAAAATTGTAAGAAAAATTTTATGATTGAGGCCAGGTGGTTCAAATAATTGCTTTACATTTCCGTGGAAACATTGCAATAATATAGAACAAGCCTACAATTTAATGGGACGGCTTTGTTTACAAGACATAGTTGTTTTCTATTCTCTGTTGAAAAAAATCCTATGTAAGAATGGGGTTGAAACCTGTCATTAAGATATTTTAGAGAGCTTTTAAACATAACTAGGGTGAAATCTGTGACACGCTGTATTTTGATGTGTCATTCAAGAAACGTGTTTGCGGAATTCAATTTGAAAGCATGACTTTTGAAATGTAACTTTTCTTCAGGGAAAATTTTTCTTCTTCTCTATTGAATGAGGGCTGGTAGGAAAAATATGTGAGTAAGAAAAAATGAACAGAAATGTCAGTTTCAATATCATAAAGTGGCTATATCAAGTCCTTAAAAACAGAGTAAAAGTGAAAACTTTTATAACTGCCTTAAAAAACTAGTATCCCGGTATCAAAAAAGGAAAAAAAAATTAACCTATTTCATTCAAAGCAATATAGTCATTGATCAGTATATAATTCAATTCTTGAAATTAGGCGATAAGGTTCATTGTTTTAAAACAGTTCTTTTTGTACATATAGTATGTCTGTATAGACCAGCTTTGGAAAATATAAATGTTGTCATTGATAGGAGCAGTTGTCATCTGACCCAATGGTTAAAGTTGCTAACTTGCCACTAACTGCCGAGAGTCCATTTCCAGATAAAGACTAAATTCGGAAGTTATTGGGGTAGCTTACAGAAGTTAAACACATGTGCATGCATGCAACTACAACAATGAGCATAGGATGTCTTTAGCTTCCTATGCTACTGAAACCAACCTTATAGTCATGATTTTTATCATCATTTTTCTGTAGTTTATTCATCTTAACTGATGATTGTCATTTAAGAAACATCTTTACAAATCAATGAATAAAAATTAGAAGAATAGAGAAAATATCTTTTTTTGTTTTGTATTTTTTTTTTTTAAATTGTCTAAATCACTCAAAATGATGCTAAAAATGAATGTTATTAAACCATTAAGCCCATTACCAATGGTTGGTTACATCATTCTAAAATCATAAAATAATCTGGGTGGTCCTAAGTTTCCATGGTACAATTTATAACAGTGGCAAGGACCGGGACAAAAAGTATATAAAAAGTGAAGAAAAAATTGCAACATAAATTAAAGGCCCGTGTCTGTAAATTGAATACATAAAAGGGCCTAATTTAGCCTGGTGATAGTAGGGACTATCTATGTTAAAGAGTGGTAATCTTGTACGACCCATTCAAGTATATATTTGCATAAGCCCTTGAATAATTTTGTAAATCACTGAAAAGGGTTCCCGTGGATTTTGAATGATTTTGTTTATCTTAATGATTTACTTAAAAGGCAGATTTCGAACAAAGAGAAAATTTTAAACGGAAATTTTTTGAAAATGTAAGGTACATTAACATAGATAAAGTGGGTGCGTGTGTTCAATATTATTTTGGGAGGAAGTGTTTCAAAATAGTGTTCTTATAAAGGTATATTTTATTTCCTGATTCTTCTTTGTTATCAAATTATATAATTTATGTATGATTTGTTTGACAAGATATATATCATTATTTATGTTATGGAAGAAAGCTTTAAAGCAGCATGCCTGCAGATTTCATGTGGATTTTTTTTTGTTTTTTTAGAATATTTGAAAAGTGTTTTAAATATGAAAAATTTGTTCTTGATCATTTATTCATAACTTTTTTAAATGTAATCACAGGTCTTGATTCAGATGTAAAGATTAAAAGTAAAATGCATTAATCATAGTGAGCACCATAGGTAGATTCAGTTGTCCCCAGCAGGATTTACTCATACATACTCATAGCAATCTCTCCATATTTAAATGGGCAAACTTTTTGAAAAATGAAAAAGAAGAATCTGGCCTGGTTGCATTATGTGTTTACCAAACACATTCTTGTTCAGATATGATTTCAAACCAAGGTCCCAGGTTTTGGTACTTTTAATGGTTACACCCATGTTACCTGTCCAGATTAATATGAGCTGGACATCCATGCCATCTGATCATGGTCTACACTGCTCGTACATATATTGGAATTTTCCCAAAAAAATGATGAATGGTTTTTTACCAGAATGAAAAATAGACAAGATTAAACTCCCTTAGTATCTCAGTAGTATCCTCAAAAATATGAATGCTCAAACAGCAAACTCTATGATCTAATGTGGCTGTCTTGCATAAAAAGCATTATGGGTAAAATAAGTCAATATGTTATATATTCAGCAACAGCTTGTTTTGACAGGTTGTTATTTCATTTAGTCCAGTTTTGATGATGTTACCAGTGCTACAAATTCAAAAAACACAGGTGTGAACTTCATTTGAAGCAACTGAAATAAAATTAAAAATGTCTTTCCAATATTTTTTGTCAGATCTAGATGCTTTATGTTTGCAACCAAAACCTTGTTGATTTTTAACCCTTTCAATGCTTATATATAATGATATTATCAAATATGAACTTGTCTAAAACCATTCATTAGTTTAGGGAAATTTTCAAAAGTATTATGAATATAGAACAGTGTAGATCTTGATCCGATGGCATGAATATCCTGGCTGATCTTGGTCTACACCGCTGTCATGGTAAGACTCAGTTACTGCCAAAAGATGTTTCAACTGAGTTGTAAAACAAGTTGTTAGAACTAAATAATATCATGTAACAATCCACTTTTTCCAATATCATATGCAGAAACATGGTTGTGACCCAAGTACAGCTTGAACCAATCATCCTTGGCTTTAAAAGCATATACCTAGGCCAATAATTACCACTGCTCTAATTTTCATACATGATATAGGTATGAAAATTAGATATCTCTAATTAAGCTCCCTGAAACAAACCTAGAACTAAATAATACTAGTGTAATTTGAGGTAATATTGTGGACCTTTTCAGGTTTGAGCCCAAGGTGTCTGGGTTGATTCAATTAGAATGTTTAATAGCTTCCAGGAATCTTCTTAAAGACTTTCAATAATAAAATTGCTATAAATTGTTGCAAGACTTGTCTGCATGGGTCTCAAGAATTAACTATAAAAATTAAAATATTGGGAAAAATTAAATCATTTGTATAGTAACTTCACAAAACTGATTTGTCCCGACTACTGTTGTTTTTGGTTGCCATTGTGAGTATAGAAAGGATTTTTATACATCAAATGCTGACAGTGTTCATTTAGTCAGACTTTGGTTCTACTGACTTCTTCTAAACCATTTGCTCAGTGTTTTATTATATAAAAAATATGTTGTTTTTGCCTTATTTCAAACAAAATAAAACAAGACAAACAGACGTACTACAGCTTGTTTAGGTCTATAAAAATGACTGATATCAACTGAATTGAAGTAATGTTAGCTCAACCCAACATTAAATTGTGGTAAAACATTTATGTTCAGCACTGTATGTGTAATAAAATGGCCATTTAGTTGTTTTGCAGAGTTCTAGATAAGGTTTGATAGATCTATAGGTTTACCATTGTTATAACAACTACAATTTAGGAGTTTACAGCCTTACAATAACCACTTGAGACTGAAACAGTAGACAGTTTTATAGAAAATTAACAAAATTTAGATGTACTTAAGTGAGTATAGGAAAATAAATATGTATATGTCAATAAAAATTGAGTTCTTTATTGTTTTAATAGTTGGGAATTATTTATAAGTTGCCATATGTTGTAGGGCTAAAGGATGTTGAAGATTGTTTTTTATTACGTATGTTGTATAAAAGATTCAGTCTTGTAATACAATAGAAAAAATGTCGTTTTTATAAGACTGTCAAAGTCATATTGCAACGTTTGTACTTTGTTTGCAAGCTTTGTGCATTATTAAAGACATGACCATGGACTTTGGAAGAAGTAACAAAATTTGACTGTCTAAAACAAACTTTAATGCTATGAGTGATACAAAGTCATTGAACATAACCATGGGTTGGCAAAAGAGCTTAATTTGACTAATTGATTGAATATATAAAAGCTGGTAATCACAGAATTTTCTATAAAATATATAGATTTGGTTTCATATTCTAATTATCTTTGGCAGAGTAACAGCCCTTGAATATGTTTATTTTTAGTCTTCTGGTCAGACAAGGAGCTAAATGTTAATGATAATCACAAATAAAATTTCAGTCTTTATTAAGTAGACAGAACAGAAATGTTGTCCTTAACACCATAGCCATCATATAGTTAGTTAAAGCCCTTTGAATACTTTATTGTGGCAATTTCAATGACTTATTCCTGTACATGTACTCCTTAAAAGCAGAAACATCATGTTGAAAGTCTTACTACAGAAATGTCCACAACAGAAAGCAAAAATTTTATGATAGTTAAGATTTCTCTGGAAAAAAAACAGATGATGATATAAACATACATTATTTGTAAAATTTATCTGGTTTTTGTGCTTCCATGAAGTTGCCTCCTTTTTGCGTTGTTATTTTACTTTGCACAAAAAAATGAATATAATAATTTTCATATTTCATGAAAACATGGAGCTTTGATGTAGGGTTTTAAGGTTTATTTCATCATGTGAAAATGAAACTTTCTCTTTGTTTTTTTATTGTTTGTTTGTTTGTTTCGAAATTGCTTTCTTTTGTAATAATAGTTAGTGTAAAATGTAACACATATACATCAAGTTGTACTTGCATTCTAGGTTTGCATGTTTGATCTCATCACTGTGGAAAATAGAGACTATGACTTATAT